CGGCTTTTATCGCAGCACCTCACATACAGTCAGTTCCATCAACAGTTCATTCTCGGCGATATCGACGGAAACATCGAAGGCAAGAATTCTCTTTATGACCATATCGAAGCATGCCTATTTACCTACCGTGGTATCAATGCTTCCTTTGTTCAGTAATTTTGCGTTTAGGACTTCAGCGTTGTCATTAGACCCTACCCCGTTCAAAGGGAGGGTTTTGACTTCGTGTTCAAAGTGTTTATAACAGTATGGAAGGCACTAAATCCTAAATCTTCTTTCTTATTTTGTGATCAGAACATTTTCTCTATTTTTTGTTCTGATACATTTGTCTTAAAGAGGATCTCGCAAACCTCTGTTATGAAACCTCTGATAGTTTCGTAATTTAATATTTGTTTTAGCCTTGGGTAAGAACATTAATCGACATGGTCGTATGTCTCGCGTGTTCCGGCATGACTGCTTACTGTGCTGTGCCTATTAGGTACAGATGTGCAAATCGCCACTCATTTCTCGGATGACTGCACCCAGGCACTTTATCGGGAATTATCCGTTTAGAGGAAATTAGGTATTTGAGTTCGGCATCTTTGGATTGCTAGCAGGGCAATAAATCGTTGCTTCTCTGGCTCCGTCAACCGTTTGTTGTAGCAGTTTCAGGAATCTACTTTTTCGTTCTTGATCATCTTTTTCGATCTCTTACTTTTTTGCCGTCCGGTTTTCCTCAGCGTGGATTCTTAAGATTAGTTTATGAAGACCCTCTTCTAAAGAGTCATCCTGATGTGGTTTACCGTCCGTCAGAATTCATACCAATCATTTGTCGACTAGCAGGTGATAATCATATAATCAATTTAACTTGAAGGTGCTTGGTTTCTTTCTCATGACAAGCTTAGTTTTTCAAACTGATTACGTTTTCCCTGTGTACTTCATGTGCTGAGTTACACTTCACATTCTTTTAGATGCTGATTTGAATTCATCAAGTTCAGAGGCAAGTCATAATGATGAAGATGAGGAGTTGTTCGCGGACGACGAGGACGGAGGACCACAGACGCCTAACTCGCAGTCGAGTCAAGACCTACTCACCTGTCTCTCAGACGAGCTGTCCATCAAGTCGACGATCTCGTCGTCGACGCCGCTGTTCACCGGCAGTGGGAGCGACAAATGGCCATCGGCACCAGCCTCTGTACCGCCGGACCACTCACAGTATTCGCCCGTTTACGAAATACCTGACTTCTCTACGAATTGTGGCGATGGCGGCCATATCTGTGACAGGTCTCCCGTTCTGGAGGGCAGAACGTTTTCCAGAAGACGACTTCAGAGCTCAGTTGAATCTCGCGGTTCTTCGCAGAGGAGTTTCGCAAGAGACGGTTCAGGTATTTTCCACTATAATATTTTATCGTTTATCGCTCGCCATTACCGTTTGCTTCGTTTCAGCCTCGGCTAAAACCAAACCGAGTCCATGCAATTGTTCGGACGACACCAGCGTTCGCCACTTGCCGTCCGTAGTGGTATTTCCTTACTTCGATGTAATTGATTTTGCTTTCTATTTAACATACACAGGAGCTTAAGTGAGAGCTAATTAACAAGTTATCGCTTTTTCTATACGATTGGTATAAAATCGATTATTGTGGTTTCGGACTGATTCCGCAAGGCAGATGTGTTGTTCATCGATCGAAACCGTACCTTACAGGTAGTCGTTCTTGGTCGAAGATCCATTGTCGAGGTTGTTTCTCTTCAGCATATTATATCTTAGACCATAATTGCTGCACCCACTTTGGGATACTGACATTTACAGAATCACATGACCTGCATGTACTCCTGAGTGGCTTGCCGTACAGCTGATTTTTAAAGGTCAAGTAAGCATAAAATTCTGTTTTTGCAGCAAACTGAATATAGTAAAATTGCCGTCCCCCTCTAGGGATTAAGGTGCCTAAATTTTGTTGTACGATAGCGCTTTGTTCGAGATGTTCTAACGATAGATTTTCCAGAAGAGCTTTTTTTCACTGAAACGTCAAATAGTCATAAGTTGAGAGAGGTAATGTTGACGAAACTTTTCATGTGATATACATACTTCGCGGAGCTACCGGCGTGCTCCCTGTTTCAGTACTAAGCAGCAAATTTCCTAATGGTCGTTCTATGAAAGACCCTAGTCCGAACTGCCCCAGCGAGGCTTGAGTTTTCCCAAGTTGCACAATGAATGCAGTCATAGATTTGCGCAGTTGTTTTGTCTTTCCTGACACGAAGAAACGAAGGATTTCTCAAAAGCGGTCCTCGACAGAAGTGATTCGATTATTCAGCGTAGCCAGGCTCTGTTTTAATGAAATCTGAACGTGCTCTCAAATTGAAATATGCGTTGCGCAGTGTCAACCATGTCAACCCGGTAGTAGACTTTTGCGAAAGATCAGGAGTCATATGAATCGCTGTTTATAACTTGTCAGTGTTTCACTACTCTAGTGAATATTTGTATGAAAATTTAATTTGAGCTTCTGCGAAAAGAGTACAATGCTTCAAACCGGGGTCGTTCTGTGAGCTGGAGTTGTTTAACGTACTTTTTGGTCCAGTAATTCAGTCTGTAGACGCAGCAGGGAAACGGCAAGGGCGGCTAAGTCTCTGTCGTTTAACCCCTTGAAGGGACCACTTTTTGAGTCATTTGCCGCGGCAGTATTGTGTAAACTATTTCTGGCTGGTTTTAAGCAAAAATTCTTAAGTTAAATCCTATTTTAAATTTTAACATTATCCCACAGGTGTGATGACGTTTAGATTGTGATGCGAGAAGCTTAAGAACAAATGATTTCTTCAGAAGGTCTTTCTCAATAAAGCCGTTTGCCATTTAAGCGTTTTCCTTGAACGTCAGAATGGAGGTTTTTGATTCACTGTTTAGCAAATTCGTTTCTATTTAAACATTTTTGGCATCACAAGAGTGCGTTGAGTTGTTGTTTTTTAAAATTTAAAGTGCAAGTTCTTTAATTTATTTTTGCATCATTGCCTATTTTGCATATAACTTCGTCCTACCTATTCCACCGTTTTAGACCA